AGGGCTTAAAAGGTTAAAAAATAAGGGTAGCTTAAAGGGCCTAAAAATGCTAAAAACGTAAAAAACGCTAAAAACGCTAAAAACGCTAAAAACGCTAAAAACGCTAAAAACGCTAAAAACGCTAAAAACGCTAAAAACGCTAAAAACGCTAAAAACGCTAAAAACGCTTAAATTAATAAAAAAGGCTATAATTAACGAGAGTATAGGTTAAATCACGTGAAGCAAGTAACCGCGTTATTTATCTAGTTAATCTATAAGAATATTTACCCTTTAAGGGATTCTTTTATCTTAAATTCTAAGTTAAACATATATATTTATAATAACCTTAATTAATTTACCGACTATTAAGTCCTTTAATAGCTTAAAGAAGCCTTTATAGGTAATATAAAGCTTTAAATTAAAGGCTACGAAAAGGTCTCTCTATAAATATAGATAAGGCTTTTCTAGCTAGAGTAAGTAGCTTTTATTCTAACCTTTTACATAAATATAGCCTTATTAAACAGCTTTCTAGAAAAGAGCTATAATTAAAACCTAGTTATAAAAGCTATATTAAAGAATAATAAGGTTATCTTTTATATAAGGCGTTACTTTAAGTAGCCTATTATTAAATTTAATAAAATTTATTAAATTAAAAGCTTTGAATTTAATTTAATGTAATCTTAACCCTAAAAAATAGCCTTTATTAACCTTTAATACTAATAGCTAGGTTACTTAAACGTAAATAGCCTTAAATATTTAATCTAATAGACTATTAAATTAAAGATTTAAGGCCTTATATAAATTAATTGTAAAGCCTATTTTAAGGCTAAGGCTAAAAGAGTTATCTCTTATAAAAGCTCTTAAATAATAAGCCTAAGACTCTTTTAAAGGATTTATATTAATATCTTTTAATTTAAGCCTAACTATAATAATAAGTTAATAGCTTTAATAGTTAAAGATAAATTCTTAGGCCTTTTAATAGTTTTTAAGCTTAAAAATACCACTTTAAATACCCTATTATTAGCCCTTTAATTATTTAAGGCTTAAATTTAAAGGTAATATTAATTAAGTATTTATTAAATCTATTAAGATAATAATAAAAGCCTTTAAATAGCTTATAAGACCTAGGTTAACTATAAAGGTATTATTAATAAGCTTATATTACTATATATACCCGCTTAAAATAGCCTTACTAAAAGGTTTAAGAGTATTTTAGGGTTAAAAGCTCGTATAATATAGCTAATAGTTAACCTTCCTATTAAATTATAGCTTAAAATCTAGAAAGCTACTACCTATCTTTATAATCTATTACTATAATAAGGTTTAGACTAAAAGACGCCCTTTTAATAGCTTTAATAGTAGCTCTAATTAAATAATCGCGATACAGGTTATTTAAATAGGCCTATTATTACACATTTCGTCGCGTATAGCTATAGGGCCTATCTAATAACCAGAGCATTAGAAGTAGTGTAGTTTTATAGTTTTATAGTTTTTATAGTTTCGAATATAAAAATTTATATTAAATCTAATAAAATACTTATAGAATTATAAGTTTTACGGATAACTAGTATAAATTCTATATTATAAGCTAATATTCAAAAAAGTGGGTCCTTATATACTATTACAAGCTTGAAACTTCAAAAACTACATTTTATAGTTTTTATAGTGTAGTGTAGTGTAGTGTGTTTTTAAAAAATTATATGATCTGGTTTTTAAGCTTATAATAAGCTAGAAGGACCCACTTTTTTAAATAAGCTAATTGGTTATAATATTAGCTATTTTAGTGTAGTGTAGTATAGTGTGTTTTTAGAAAATTACATAATCTAGTTTTTAAGCTTATAATAAGCTAGAAGGGCCCACTTTTTTATGTGAGCTAATTGGTTATAATATTAGCTAATTTATTTATTTATTATTATAATTTAAGTATTTTATTAGATTTATTATTAAATATTTAAGCTTTTTTGAAAATTGAAAATGTAGTTTTCTTATTAATACTCTGCTAATAACCTAGGAAGCCCTTTAAGGCATTTAAAAACGAGCTCTTAAGATAATAGCTCACGTAGAAATCGGCTACCTTATTAAATACAACTCTATTAATATCTTTCGTATATAGATTCTATTAAAATTAAAAGTTAAACGGGTTAAAGATATAACCTTTAATAAAAAAACCTTCTATTAATATTAAATTCATTAAATTCAATTATAAAAGCTATAATAGCTTAAATTTTTAACCTATATTAAGTCTAATTATAATAATAATACTAATAAGATATAATCTATTATTAAAGTTAATATATAATTTATTATTAAAGTTAATACTTAAGGCCTTTAAGCTAGTTAAAAAGAAAGTTAATTATTTAAATTTAACACTTTTAAAGACTTTAAATTTAATATAAGCGGCCCTTATTAAGACCTTTTAACGCTAGCTTTATTAGAGCCTTTTAATTAAGATAAAAGACCTTAATAGTTATAATAAATTTCTAATAAAGCTCTTAATAGCTTTTATAATAGCTTTTTAATTAAACGGCTTAAAAGGCTATATAAAAGAAGCTTACCTTTTAAACCTTAATATTAAAAAGAGCTATAAAAGTACCCTTATAAGCTTAAATTTAAAAAGGCTACTTAAGCTAAATATAATACCTTAACTAATTAAGAGACCTTTTAACTCGTTTAACTTAATTAAATAAAACGATTATATTACTTATTACTATTAACTTAAGTGTTTAAATATAAATATAATAAATATAAATTCATTAATAAATTTAAGGCTTATTTATACGTATAAGGTAACCTTTAATTACCTAATAATAAGAAGATTTACGTTATAACCCTAGTTAAAAGGTTATTCTAAATCTTAATAGTAATTACAGTTAAATTTAACCTAAAAGCTAGGTAACTTAACGCGGTTAATACCTTTATAAATAGCTTAATTAATAAAGAGGTTTACGTTAAATTTCTTAAAGGCTTTAAAAGGCTTAATTAAATAATAAGGCTATTATAAGCCTTATATAGGCTATAAAGGTTAGCCTTATTATAATAATAATCCCTTAATAAAACCTTTAAGCTACTAGATCTAATACCTTATTTAAAAGACCCTTATATCTTTAATAGCCTAATATTAATAGTCTTTTTTTACGTTAATAATATTATCTTTTTATATTATTAAATAGCTTTTAAAGCTATTAATTAAATAATTTAAAAGCTTAAATTAACCTATAATATAAAGAATTTTAATAAGCTATAATAGTTCTTAAATATTTAGGTTCTTTTAGATAAAGCTACTTATAAGCTTTAGCTATATTAGAATTTTTATATTAAAAAACTAGCTACGAAATTTAATATTTTTAAGAGAGATAGCTTTAAAGAAAGTCTAATACCTAGAAATTAATTAGAATTTAATTTAAGTATTATAACTACTAATTAAATTCATTAATATTAGCAGATAATCGGCTTTATTAATTATATTATAATTATTAAAAGACCTAATATAACTAAACTTATAGCTAAGCTAATTAAATTCCTCTTTAATTCGTTAAAAACCTATTAATTGGTTACTAATTAAGTTATTAAGTACTTGTATTTAACGTAATACCTAGTAATTAAATTTAATAAAGGTTCTAATAACCTAGAGCTTTAAATAGCTTTTAATACCACTTTTATAAACGATTAATAAACCTAAAAGTTATTATAAGGCTTAATAATTTAATTATTTAATAAACCTATTAGTTAAAAGTTAAATAGCTAATAAGTAAAATATAATTATAATATCGTTTATTAAAGCTAAATTATTAGCTTTTATATATATAATTAAAGAAACTATTATAATATTTAGGCTTTTTTAATAGTTAAACCTTTAGCTAGATTATTTAAAGCCTATAATATAATATAATAACTTATAAACGATTTAGCTTATTAATAGTAATCTTTTAAGGCTTAAGACCGCTCTCTATTATATTAATATTTATAATAACTAGATTTAATAAGCCTATTAATAAGAGACCTTTAACATTAAATTTATTTAAAGCGCTAATAATTTAGCTAATAAATTAACGAAGATTCTAATAGGCTAACGATTTAACCGCTTTATTAAGTAATTAAAGCTTATTAACATTATTAATATTATTAAAAGAGCTTTAAAGCCGAATCTTTAATAGTTAAATACCGTAAAACCCCTTAAATTAATAACTTTTTAGGTGACCTATTAGATGACCTTAATATTTATAAATAAGGGCCTGTTTTCCGTACCTAGATAGCTTCAATCAAGGATAATTCCACTATTCAATCTGCTTCTATAGCTGTCAACGTGATATGTCCAGTATAACGCACTACTAAAGACACATCACTGACAACTGTCGAAATACGGTGAGACGAAATATTTCAACTCTGTCGTACCGGTAAACTTTCTCTTGAATGGCAAATTTTGCGACTTTATCGTCGCCTGTGTATATTCATTTTCTCATACAATTGATACCGGGTACTGCCGAGCATTACGCCAATGTGTCACAGACGGAGCCTTGTTAGACTTATTGCTGTGTATACAGACGCCACCCGATGATGTTAACGAATAAGCCACAACTTGCTCTCTGTGCAAAAAGGGGGCCTGCTTTCATGCCTCTTTTCCAACATGTTGTAAGCCCGCCCAGCCTGCCAGAGTTTGAGAGCAGTTGCTCTTCGTACTTGTTGGTAAAGTTGCTGTCTTGAACAGAATTAGAACCTTTGGTCATAGCCTGATGAAGAATCGTTCCCCACAGCCGGAGCATATCGTCTATGTGCTTTCCTCCTTCGTGGGTCTCCCGGCTTTCATAAACGGGTCAGTCAAAAGCACCGCCATTGGAGTCCGTTCGTCAGGATTTGTCACAACCATTTTCATGACGAGGTTGAGAAAACCCAACCCCTCACCAGACTCGAACGTATGCGCATTGAGCTTTTTTTTGCGTTTCTGCCACACATTTCTTCGGTCGTAGGGGGACGGTGCTGAAACGTCAGTACAAATCAAGCCAAACGAGAATTGGTAGGGAAACCTAACAATTTCGAGGGTGCTCAGTCTGATTATTATCAAGTTCAGGCCAACTTTCCGGGGCGTGTCCACCAAATTGAATGGCCCAGGAAAGGCAGTATTTCAGGGAACTCCATCTTGGAATGAGCCCACCTCCCGTCTCGATATGAAACAACTGTAGATAATCAGATTTGTACCTTTCAGACTTGTCAAGAATGACGCACCGTACACCCAACAGCCCAGATATCCGCTTCTTTTCTCCAAGCAGAGCCTATTTTGCCACTAGATATGTCTTGGATCATATATTCTGGGGGACGAATCTCCAAAGGAGGTGCACCCGACAATTCTGGTATTGTCTTGCTCGGCATGTAGGCTATCGATAATAGAATGTCACGTCGGTAATTGTGCCACAACAGTATGCCTTAAAGTTCACGTACCTCTCCCAAAGTCTAAGATCCTAATCGATATTTCGGAGCTCGCAGGGAAGGCGTTGTGGAATCGTAAGAAACTTGCCATCCCTACTGATTCAACGATATAAGGGGGCAGCGAGTGTAACGGGAATGTTGGATCACATGGAACGACAGGAATACATTCAGGGCTCGCATAGTGATCCGTGATTTCGTCTTCAGTAAACTGTTCCAGCTGTGGTAAGGCGATTCCCAAGTTGCCGAGATGAGGATCTATGTAGGTAAATAATCAGCCCACGCGAAGCATTAGTCGTGTACTCTGCCAATTAATTACCTCCATGCACTACTCCTTCTTCGTGAAGATAGGCAAAGCCTTGTATAACTTGGCGTATAGCTCCCAATGAACACTGTTTTAGGTTATCTCCATCGCTTAGCGGCGCGACGACTTCGGTAACCAAAAACTGGTGGAATCGATTTGGTCCTTGGACGACAAACGCGTCGAAGAGCTCAATGACCCTCTGACATTTATATTTTTCGCGCTCAGTTTTACAAAGCAGGGACAAAATCTCCGCTTCTCTGCTTGGATTGGGTGTATCTGAGCCCAGGCCGACCTTGATAGCAACATAACGTCTGTCGGAAATGGTTAGTTTTCTGAGCGTACATATACATAACCCAGAGTGCCACTTACTTTTTGACAAGGTCACGAGCCAGCCACGCAGTGCAAAATGCTCCATGGCCTATCTTCAGCATGATGCGATAAGTTGGCTGTTTATCCACATGACTAACACAGGTGTTTGACTTGGGGAGCACTTCGCCAAGGGTAATCGGATGAAATCCAAATTGTCTATATTTCATTAGATCTTCAAACTGCACTTCATAGCCAGTGTAAAGAAAAACGTCTTGCTGGTCCTGCAGACGGCTCGAAGACTCCATGATATTGCTGCAACAGTCTATCTCCGAAGCGGCGAGATGTACAAGGATAGCACTGGTAGGTCTGTTAGACACAGGTTGGTTGGGGGCCATCAAGGACAGTACCAGAGGAAGAATCACCTGGACAAGAATCCTGTCGCAGCCACCGAAAGGATGGGAGGGATTGAACAAGGCCTGGTGTTGGTTTAGATGGCAGTAGGCACTAGCGGCGGAGTCTGTGTTGGGTGCGAGAAAGATGCATCTCGAATCCAGAACATGGGTGTTGGAGTCTTAAAATAAAAGCAGTGTGCGTCAGTGCCCCACGTGATGAGCATTCGTTTGTCACAAAAACAGGGGGGTGTGCAATTTGTAATGATTTGCAACGCACATAAACAATCGTCCATGCCCTCTGCCAGCATTTTGTGGTGACAGTGTGCGTGACCAACGACGAGACAAGGCTAAGTTACGGACGACTATTCGCCTTCTTTGTTACGTGTGCGGTCAAAGCTGGACTGAGCTTGGTGCTACGTAGTACTTTCAATATCGAGCATCGTGACCGCCAATATGGGTGTCGGGGCCAGCTCTGGGCACTTGAGGACTCTGGCACGGCCGTCTTCTTTTTCCCCCTGCTGCCGCTATTGGGGGGGAACTTGGAATATACTGTTCAGACCAATATCATAACCACGGACCACGCAAACCTGGGCCACTAGAAGGTGGAGGTTAAAGCGCCGAGCCAACACTTCGTTCCATCCCTTGATGCCTATGGATGTAAACAGCGAGGCTATCGCAGCGTTGTACAGGTTGGTGACACGTAGAAGGGTAGATAGTATAACAAAAAGCCAACACGCTTACACGAAATTTTAAGTGATTTCCTCGTTGCTCTTCCATGTTCAAATACGAAAACCTAGAGCCTTGTAGAATTGATTGTCAGACACCCCGATCGCAACCCCACAGAGCTATCATATCTCGACGAGAATTTCATGAGACTCCTGCACCATGGATAAAGGTCGAGGATACGTTGACACTGTTGCTGCCGATGACAGACGACTGATGATCTACTACACCCATGAGGACCATGAGCGGGATGTGCTTGCAGAGATCAGGGTTCTTCAAGAATTCGCGGCAGCATGGACCAGGGGAGACCTTCTAAGACACTTCCTAGTTCCTAACTTCTGTGACCATCGAGTCCCATTCGCAAGATCTCCCTCAATGACCATGCTTATAGGGCGTAAACGGTAAGGAACCTTCAAAGGATACACAACCCTGCGATATTCTAATTGTGAGGTAAAGCACCACCCCTCTAAAGCACAAAGTGTTCACGTCCGCTAACCCTCCCCAGTGCGGGTCAACACATTTCAACCAATACATCCAATGAAAGCGAGCACATTACGGTTTTTATAGCTAGCAACGCTTCCTGGAAGGAGGGTTTCGCAAGATCCACTGTACATGTCTATTCTGTTGGCGATGATATGAGTATGGGATATATGGGATGGAAATGGGTATCGAAATAAAAGAACTATCTTCGAGGGGATATAATCCGAACTCAGCTTGACGAAGCTATGCGCAATATCCTCCCTCTCCCAGAAGAGTCTGGGGAATCCAGCGAGACGCTGACAGGGTAATAAGATGATGGTACCCCATATTTCTAGTTAGAAATCTTCCCATCGTACACTGTCACTCAATGCAGTATCCTCTTTTCAAGATCTTGAAATTGACGCCGTGAGTAATTGCTTCCATCATAGCTAGCAGGCGAATCATTTGGTTTCTTCGGCGCTGCATAGCCATCTCTCGGGTTCGGCAGGTACGTCTGTCTAATGAACTTATCCGCTTCGTGAATAATCCGTATACTCTGATCAACGCTAGGACTTCTTTGTCCACCTACAATCCGTTGCCATTCCAACAGAAGCTGTTTCGAGTGGTCACCAGCAATCAGAACGTCGGGGTCGATTAGTCTTCTCAGTGAAGGGACACGACATGCAGCCAAGAGAATGGGCATCGCACATGCCATCCTGTAAAATTATTAGCGCTGTCACTATTGGCAATATCCTGGAAGGGGTTGGCCCACGAGAGCGAACAGATCCACGTGTCGACGAGGACGCTTTGTGAAAACCCTCTCAGATTGAGAATATGAATCAAGCATGCATCTAGGCACGCTTTGCAGTTCTTCCTAGCCTCTCGACTTGGAGAACTGACACTCAAGTCGTCGTTGCCGCCACGACTTCCACTAAGCAGCCACATCAAATACGGACGGTAGATGACGCCCCTGCAGGTCAGATACCGCTGTCTCAAGAACCCACTAGCTGATTTGGATGCTGGGTGTGTGTCCACGGTGAAGGATAATGCCGGGGGTAAAAAGTTCCGCCATTCGTACAGTTGATGCTGGAGTTCGGCAACAATATAGGGAAAGTGAGCAGTGTCAAGAGCGGCACCAGTACCACTGGCATAGAGGAGTTGGTGCACTCGGCTCAAGAGTCGCCGCATACTAATGCATGCAAGAAAGTAGAGCGAATATTGTTCTTCTTCGGTCGGGGTCGTATGCGTGTTGTAGGTGCCTGGCAGGGGGATGGAGGACTCTATTCGAGAAATGCCAGAGACCGGGCTAGCAGATAATTCGGCAATGTAGTCACTTATATCGGTCAGAATCAAAATGCAACAGAAGGTGCGAATGGGCCCGTTACCTTTCGAGGATATAGCACGCCCAAAATATCCTGCGCGTACGTTCTCTATCATCGTGAGATGCTTGATCAGGCGGGCAGGATAAAAGCATCATGCATTTGGCAGCAGTTGCGGCGATGTACTCCCAAGCCTGAAGTGGCCTCGCGAGGAAGGCGAAATATAGCCTACATTATCCGTCAACAACATCCAACCATGGTCATATAAAGAGGCACTCACCCAACAAAGAACAGGCACTGGGCTGACAATGATGTAGCACCCAGATGCGCCACATGTGCCTTTTTCAGGGCCGCATCAAAGTAGACATCACCCATCAGTCTTCTGGATGCCCTCCGCTTGGCATCTTGATCTGACACACTACTGCCAACCTCCATGTCCGTAGTAACTTAACTAGCGCACCCGAGCGCCATTGTCAACAAAGCGATACAGGCCTCTACACTGTCTTCAGGTGTTACCTCAGAGTTCAATAGCAGCCTTGTTCGCTCAATTCGTCTTTCAGACATGGTTGGATACCAAAAGTTGACCTTGTGCTCAAACGACTCTGATATTCAATTGACGTCCTCTTGGGTCACATAAGGGTATATGGTGGATTGTTTAATAGGTAATACGGGCCGTGACTGCTCTAGTTGGAAGATGGATGTGTAATCTTTGCGTAAAGATGGGAATATGTTAAAATGGTGCCATGACAAAACAGACTCGGTCGTGGACGTGTGCATAGAGTCAAGAACTGCATTGTCGAAACTCTTGCCCTGGGCATTGCGGGCGTTGTTTGCGGTAGTCAAAGTCCTGGTATTTGGATGAGATGCAGGACCAGGCTCAGCTTCTGCAACTGGTGGTGAGTCGATATAGTGGCTCGCTGAGGTTGGAACTGTAGCTGGAGATGCGACGTTTGCTCCATGAATTGGGACAGGTCCGTGTGCATGTTGAGCCTGGGTAAGTTAGTTGGAGAATCGAGGCAAATAAAGACAGCCAATTGATATATAACTGCTTACAAGAGTCGAGTTGAGTTGGTTGAGAGCCTTCTCGATTCGTAACACTCCATCAAGGACCAAGTCTGTCTTGCCACTGCTGTTGATCCCAGTGTCAGCTTCGTCGCAACCACAATTTCATCTCCCACCTAGACTTGTCGGATGGCCTACTTACGAGATAGCCTCAGACCCATACACGCAGGGCTGATCCGAAGCTACACACGTAGCACAGGGGCGCTTGCCGTCACATCTACATAATATTAGTCACCTCGTCTGCCAAGCATGTATTGGGATGCAGATATCGACAACATAACGACGTACCTTATCTTACGACCGCGGCATACGTCGCACTAATGCCAGAAACAGTCGAAAGTTAGCCAGGTTGCCCTACATGTTTCAATCACAACTGTATCATAGCATCGAATTGCCCACGTCTTGGGTGTCCTTACCGCATGAGAAGTTCGCAGTCGCTTTCTTGATAGTTCGGATAGTGCTGGCGGTCCTACCGTCACCAAATCTTGCATATTCATGACTGCCTGTCTCAATTCGAGAACCACGACGTCAATGAAGTTCTGGCAAGGCCACAAGATACCCTTTGCGAAATTCAGGCAAGTGCGCGAATGCTGCGTGGACAGGATAAAAGTAAAACCGAGGTCAGCAAAGATTCCAACTTCATTCAATTCCACCTTGGTGGGAGAAGGGTGGGTGCCGTCGAGCGCTAACCTCCCAGAACCTAGGTGAGCAGTTGGATATTGCCTCGAGTGGAAGGAACAGAACCAGAACACAATACCTGCAGCTGGTGAATATCGTCCGCGAAAATTCCAGCGAAAAGGCGCGCCCGATCATCAAGTCCTACATGGCACTGAGTTGCTCTCGAGGCTCTCGAGGCTCTCGGGCTATAGAGGAGTAGTCATCTAAGATCCAATGTCATGTAGACAGTTCAAATGTTGGGGATGAGCAGCTGCCTAACCGGCAGTCAACTGGCAGACAGCTGCAGCAAATTGATCCAGGGGTGGGGAAGGCGCGCCTCAGCAGCCAAAACTACGAGCACAACCAACTGGCACCCTCACACAATTCATCTCACATTCTCACCCTCTCACACACATCGCGGGGCTATTGAGATCCATAGAGCAGCCTCTCGTTGTAAGTAAAGAAAAGAGACCGTCATTTATCACTCAAATGGCGCATGGCGGCATAAAATAGATGCCTTGGCCAAGAGTCCAGATGATACCATTGATTGCCCTTAGTCCTCAGGCTTGGGTAGGTCGAGTCTAGTTGGCGTCTAAAATCATGAACTCGCTCGTATCACCTCACGTATCAATGCGCTCATGCACACGCTCAAGCAGGTTTGCTCAGCAGTTGGCCCTAACTTAACAGAAAAGGCTTCGAACCAACGTCGTCTCTCCCAACACTCTAATTTCAGAATCCAAGAAAATGCACGCACTGCGCATTGCTTTATTGATTCGCCCGCCAGTCTGGGGTCTCCTAATTCATTTCATCTCCATTTGTCGACGTACATCATCCAAATACAAGGATGTGTCTACTTTGTTCACCGGAATTATTTACGCCAACTATTCGAAATTTTGGTTCTGCATGACTTGACTTATTTCATAACTCTGTAGCCTTTTCCATAAAGTCGTAGTTATAACATGTGTGTCGTTTCAAGCCGACCTGAAGACATGTTTGCCTACTGACTGAGCCGATAGTTTTCGGGACATTTTGCGATACAATGCACCCATCAGTTTCTGCAAATCCATGCAATATCCACTAATAATTCCATCTTAAATTCCAGGTCCACCTTGGGTCATCACAGAACTCACTTTTATGCCAAAGCCCCAAGGAATGCTACGCCTAGCCCGTAGCACTGTCTTGTTTTACCGTTGGGCCAATTTGGGATGTAAGAACCAATTTACACGCAATGTTATCAAATAAGACACCATTGCATCACCGTTTCCGATCACCACGATAAGTTTATCATATCTGGCAATGTCGCACTCTGAGTCGACTCTTCCCAACTAAGGAGAAGCATACATATGAGGCGTAGAACCACTGTCAAACTCAAACGCTCTCCTCTAACTTTTAGTCCTCCGCCATATGCAGAGTATTCATCACGTTTTGCGCGTTCCTCTTCTCTAGGCTCTTCTTAAATGGGTTCGGAGCCTCGAACACCTCCGCTAATTCTTCCAGTGTACGATCTTTAGTTCCCGGAAAGAAGAGATAGATGAATACCGCTTCGAAGAGGTCCCCGAACACAAATACCAGATAGAAGTAGTAACGGATATTCTCGAAAGCCGGCCCGCTGCTGTAGTGAATGACGGTAGAGGCAGCTGAACTAGCAAAGTTGCCGACTGCCGTGTCCTTGGCTCGCGTTGCTGTCGGTAAAGTTTATGCATTGCACATGGATTGTAGGGGTGTCAGGTCAAATGAGAAGAATATACTGAAGATGAAGATGAATGCCACTGTGGTATTAGCAGCTGCCGCATTGGACGGCTTGTCCATTGACATTTCACTGGTGTCCGTCAGGATAGCGAAGCAGCACGACGTAAAGACGATAGTGTAGAGTAGCAAAGGCCGACGACCAACAATTTCAGTCATGCGAGCGCCGAGGACGGCTCCTACTAAACAAAGTGCTGGATTGATGCCATTGAGAGCAAGCGCTTTCTGCGGATCAGTGATTCCAGCATTGTTCAACATAACGAGTTAATAGTAAGAGCTTAAACTATTACCGCTGATTTGCCCAAAACGAGCCATACCAAGGACACAAATTAGACGCCGACGGGCGATGTGGGTATTTCAAAGCTCGTGGTAATCCCACTACTTTTTGTCTGATGCCTCGGCAGCGATTCGACTTGCCATTTCTCGCATCTGAAGATCGACTACGGGACGTTTTCCTTCTTCCTCGCCGTGATAGGTGGCGAGCATCTTAACGGCCTCGAGCGGTCCTGTTCCACCAACCAGCGAGGGGATTCGGGTAGAAAGAAGACGCTCGACACAACAATGCTAGAAGTCACCATTTGACACAAATGGCAATTCTCCACGCCGTGTTTGGATTCATAAAGCTGCAGCCGTATACAGTCCAGCTTGCAATGATGCTCCCAATGTACCATGTGCAGTTATACAATCCAGTCAGCGGTCCCCGTCAGTTCGGATGGGCCAGCTCACTGACATAGCATGGTGCCGATACGCAACAAAAACTGACTCACAAGTGCAAAACTACCAGCGAGGAGTTGGCCGTGATCTGTGGATGGCGCTTGCACGCAGGTGCCAAAAACTATTATGAGTGCTCTGGTGAACATGCCCCATCGCTGGGCCAAAGTAGTCGTTGACAGGGCCAGTGAAGAAGACTGCCACGACTGAAGCAGTGTTATACATAGAAAATACCAAACCCGTGCTAGAACCGGCGCTTTTCCTGTTCTCTCTTGTTAGTATTTGAGGAGTATTACAGGGTCTCGAGTGGCTCTATCAAACGTACATGCCAAAATAGTGTAGACAGGATGGCATGGCGTTTAAGCGACCCATGAGGGAGCCATCATATGCGTTCTAGATATGAAATGGTGTCAGCTAAGGTCGTGGTGCCGTATATCGATGTCAAATCATACCAAGCAACCACACAAAGAGGCACAAGATAAGACAAGATAGGGACGAAATGTGGCCGGCGTCCATGGCGAGCTCTTTCTCTGATCAAGCCCATCAGTGGGTTGTATAACAGAGCCCACGTCTGGGCGATGGTCACGATGGCCCACGTTGGGCTGTTCTTTTTCGGAGGTTGTCATTTCAAAGTTTGATGCATGTTAGCCTTGCGGTTCCTCGGTATCGATGAGTGAAGTTAGGAAACGAGGTAACAGCCAATCGGCAACAAACTGCCAGAGTACAAGGCCAATTGTGTTTCGAGGTGTGGCCAATGCCGACTGGGCATAGCCGGGGGGGCCCAACGATGTTATACTATTCGCATCGTGATTCAGGTGATGAGTCCAACTTTGGCCAGGAGCGAGTTGATCAGATTGTGGCGTGGGAACAGAGCCCCGGTGAAAGACCACGAGCACGGCAGACAACAACGGACCAGGTGACTACAAACAGACCATGATTCCACAAGGGTTTGAGCCTGACATTGCCGATGAGTTGTGCCAACGCACTCTTCGGTGCCGGTCTTGGTGAGGAGCTGTTTGTGCACAACCCCAGCGACCATGGAAATAGTGGCTATCCTACTCCGTACACACAGCCTTTTTGGGGTTGCTGGTGCCAGAGCTTCCCCACGGGCAGATGAACAAGGCGCCGATCATGTACGGGGAATCGACCGAGGGTACTAGTAGTAGTGATGGATCATGGGATGAGGGGATTGGCATGGGGCGCGGTATGAGCATGGATGTGGCTTGTTGGCATCGTTCGGGAAGTCGCGAGGGAAACGCACTTCCTGCTCTTGCGTGGACCCTAATTCAGGTTCGGCTCCACCATCTCCGACAGATTTATCCCGAGCATTTCCTACGCAACATTCCAAAAATTCCGACCACATCAAGAACGGGTTTCTCACCGGCTCTTCATTTGAGTGCTACTAACGGTCCATTGTTGCGCTTCTTGTTTCTTTCCATTACTCCTCATGATCGTGGCGCGTGGCCTGTCTGTCGAAACGATGTAATCTATCCACGTCTTGTTCCTAACCTCCCCGTGAGGCGACTCAGGAAGTTTCTAACCCGTTGACACGCTCCTGCCACAATTCGTTACGTCGACACAGAGCTTCTGATAAGCTTCATTAACTATTGTTCCATGGCTTATGTCATAACCATTCAAAAAATAGTAGTGTTGTGTGGTGCGTTTGGCGGAGATTCGATGCTCAGAGGCGGTGCCGACTTCCTCCCGTCTCGTGGGCTATCCTTGCTGCGTGGAATCTCGTTCACGGTTTATACCCGTCTCCACCTGTACGTGGCAATGGGTAGAAATGAAACTGGGCCTTGCGACAAACTTGCCGGCAGAAGAGAAAACAGGTGAAAAATGCTCGTGTGTTTTCTTTGCCCTTTGCCTTCATTCTATTCTTGGCTTCACCTGATAGTGTCTATGCACCTTTTTTCTTCGTGCAGCGTCAACCACCGACATGGGAGACAGTAGATTGCAGCTCAAGCGGCTGCCACTGAGGGTAGTAACCCTAACCCTAACCAGTTTATAACCCATGATTAACCTTAATTCTTAGCCTTAACTCTGACCCTAACCCTTACTCTAAGTCAACCCTGACCCTAAATGACGTGGAGCTGGGGCTAGTGTCAGGTTACTTGCCCGACCTTCTATCAGGTTGTGTGACCTCTCGACTAGTCCGAATTATTGCAACGAGACTGTGTTTCGGAGGAACTGTCTGCCTAATCGCTGTTATCATATCACTGAGACGTCACTGCTAGGGAATGGCAGTTGGGACTTCCACCTGACCTCCTCTACCGTCGAATCACCAGATCCCACAAGATTTAGCTCGGTCCCCTGGAAGTTGACGGTACCAGGACACTGCAGCAGCTGCAAGGCTATGGCAAGCATTGGTACACCAATTTCAATACTCCATCTCTGTTCGTATATGCCCACGGAAAACCCAACTGGTACTTGTCGCCGCATATTCCATGCCCCGTCGACCTGCGCTGAAGACTCCTATCTGGGGCTAGAATTTGACGCTGTTGATAGCGCTTATCATTTTCGGGGGAACAAATCCTCGGATGAATATGCCCAAGGCTCCAGAATCCTTTCAAGTCTCATATCTCGGGTTTTGTTGACCGGAATGAGCCCAACGAGGTGGTCGTCAAGGCGTATCAATGGAGTGACGGGGACTTATAACAAAGACTAAGATCAGTGGTAGCTCTCTCTGGTAAGTGTCTTTGCCAATGGCCATTGATGCCTCCGCTAATTTAACTCGGCACATTTCCAGATGCTCACTTGATAGCGCTTCCAAGAGATGGCAGGATTGAAGAATGGTTTCTCTGGACTGACTTGGGTGAAAGCATAGCGTGCCACCTTGCATGCTACCGTCGATATTGTCACCGCCAGCCGGGGGCAACCATCTATTTCATTTTCCGAGCTTGAACGGAATGGTGGCGAGTTGCTTATATCTACAGAAACGCCATCAACAAACGGGATACCCAGACTGGATTAAGCGTTGTTGGATGATCCGCTGTTTTCTGAAATCGTGAATCCGCTCTAGGAAATGTAAATTTTGTTGCATATTGCACGCCCCTCCCGGCCGGCCGACTTCTATGCGACCCATATTGATCCCCTGCTCCCTTTGCAATTTTCAGATTGGCTGGGTTCACTCGGATCAAAAAACAGCACGCGCATTAGGACAAAAATTTCTGAGCCCCCCAAGGTGGACTGCACAAACAGCCTACTTGTACAATGTGGACGTAAGCCTGAGCGATGAGACTGCTGCACCCCAGACCGTACGACAGCGTATTGCTTTCGAAACGTTGAGCTTAAGAACGGTTTTGATGACTGTAAATGGTGTTCGAACTCATCTAAGGGGAACAAATCGCTACGAGCGCCATCCTCGATTTGGTCGCGCTGTACCTCTAGGTTTTGCAAAGCGTGATCTCATCTTTATTAAGAGACACAACGTCAACGTTCTGAGTTGTTCTCACCAGCCCAGTCACCCAGAGTGACTAGGTTGTGTGATGAATTGGGCCTTTGGGTCATGGAAGAGGCCGATCTGGAGTGTCACGGCTTTTACGATGCCATTGCGCGGCCGTTGGACATTCTCGAAGAGATGGACTATGAAAAACAGGATAAGTTGACTATTCTTCAAGCTGCCCAATTCACAACGAACAATCCAACCAACGTGGAGGGCCGCATATAGAGACCGGATGGAATCCCTCATCCAGCGAGATAAGAGCCATCCCAGCTCCATGATGTGGAGTCTTTGAAACGAGGCTTTCTATGGCGATTACCATGGAGCAATGTACACATACGCAAAAGGATCGATACTGGAAGGCATATCTACTATGAAGGTGACGCAAGCGCCGAAACGGCAGATATGTACAGTTACATGTATCCATCTATTAAGAGGCTCATCAGGCTTGCTGAAGAACAAGATGTCAAGGACGGCAAATTTGAAAAGCGGATCAAATTGTGTGAGTGTGCACACGCCATGGGTAACAGTCCCGCATGGCTAGAAGACTATGGAAATGGGTTTTGCAAGCAACCCCGTCTGAAAGATGGCTTTATTTTGGAATGGGCAGACCACAGCCTGTGGAAAGAGGGTTCGGGCTATTATGCCTATGGCGGTGATTTTGGAGACACACTCAATGACGAAAAATTTGTCATGGGTGGGTTGTTGAGCACCGTCTCACACATGGACTGCTTGAGTTCAAAGCTATGAACGAGCCCGTTCAGTTCGAAATCGGGGATGGTCAAGTTGCAGTTGAGAACTGCTACAACTTTTCCGGCCTAAGCCACTTGGCTGCTAAATTTAAGCTAGAGATGTTTGGAGAAGAGTAAGTACTTGATCTGATTGAATGTAAGCTAGCAGATGCTGACTATGCCAAGTGCTTATTCACTCGCTTCAGGAACATCAGATCTTCCTTCGGTAGAACCTGGTTCTACAACATGGGTTGCCTTTCCAAATAGTGTAATAAGTTTCAGGAGAAACAAGCAAGTATATTTGAACTTTTCTGTGACACTCGCTTATGAGACATCATGGGCTACTCCAGACCATGAGGTAGCTTGGTTTTAATATCGACCCCAAACGGCAGCCAAGTTGTCTTCTCACCCCATAGCATTAAACAAGCTACCTTCCAAATTTCACGTCTCATCTGAGAGCAGCAGTATTTCTGTTTCTGGAATCAATTTCACCTACCAGTTTGATGAAGCTCGCTGCGTCCTCAAAAGTTGGGTTGCAAATGGATATGAACTCTTGACAACAGACCCAGCCGTTGGTGTAGCTAATACCGTTCATTTTGGAGACCATCTACTGATAATAACGTTCCTCAGTCATTGCCGTACTAGAAGCGCTTCGGAGTTGCCCGGATGACCAGTCAACTTTGCTCACTTCGTATCGACACTTCTTAGAATGCCCCTGAACTAACACTAGAACACTAGACCAAGTGAAATGTTTTGGCTGCGGGCCCAGAGAAAGCTACCCCGACAAGAAATCTGCTCAAATTATTGGCATCTGGAAAGTTGACTCGGTAATAAACCTACACACACCCTACAATGTCCCTCGAGAGAATAGCAACCAGATAGACATTCGCTGAATAATGCTTGCAAAGTCTCAGCTTCAGCCGTCTGGTAGTAGGGCTCGGCGTATTAGAAATGATACTACGTTTAGCTTTGTCGCAGGCCGGCATAGTAAGAAATTATCCAGGCTGCTAGGCATCTTCTGGATCTTGTAGATGAGAATGCCACTCTGTTGAGACGGGACGTTGAGGGCGCCGGGGTTGGTACCAGGGCTTGTGGACCGACTGTGAGGGAACATCTCATGATTGGGTGTATAGAGGTGTCATTTGGGTTTGAAATGGAAGATATTTAGACGATTTTCCAGGAAATAAATACCACATTGCGACTCGTTCGAAGCGGGGGTTTGTTTACGCGCTGGTCTAGGCGTCCAGAAGACAGGCACGTCGTCCTGTGGCCAGAAATGGGGGCTATGAGTCATTTGAAGAGATTGATAAGATTTGAACAGAAATACCACGATGGAAAAGCCGGAGTGAAGACAGGTAGTGGCGACCTTTGCATCCAAGGTCGCGGCACACGCGCATCACGCTGATTTCTCTGCGTCATAGCCAAATGGTTCATGGTGGGGCTTTGGCCGTTTGACTCAGCCGCCGTCATCAAGCTACGACTCGAAAAGTCGACGACTGTTTGTGCAAAACCGCGTTGCCCACCACCGGCTCAGTTTGCGCAGGAAGCTAACCCAATCGTCCTCGAGCTGACGTTCCTGTCATGGCGACCCAAAGCGACGACGTCCTTCGGCGGCCTCTCTACAGTTAGTTCAGCTCAAACCCGCGAGCCGAACGTCACCAGACGAATGCGAAGAGCTAACCAACTTCCCCAGTGTACGATCTGCCTAGCGCAGTTCTAGAAAGCTTGACTCTCAAGGCAGACGCAGACAGCACGCACGTCGTCGATGAAGAACCCACCCGTACGCCGAGTGAAAAGAGCCCCGATGCGTCGACCGAGAACCTCGTCGGATCGCAATCATGTTCGCTTTGCGGTATGGCCTTCTCGTCGCTGCAGGACCAGCGCAGCCATCTCAAGTCCGACTTTCACAACTATAACTTGAAGCAAAAAATGCGGAATCGCAAGCCTGTTTCCGAGACGGAATTCGACAAGTTAATAGAGGACCTTGACGAATCGCTCTCTGGTTCGGACTCGGAAGACGAGGACGAGGACGAGGACGACGGTCGACAGGACTCGACTCTGACGGCGTTGCTGAAGAAGCAGGCTCGCTTGGCGGATAAACGAGGCGATGGCGAGGAAGAAGAACCCTCGGATGGATCAAGCTTGGGGAGAAGGAATCGTGGCAAGCCGCCCTTGATTTGGTTCAGCTCGCCACTCTTGCCAGAGAACCACTACTTTGGGCTGTACCGCGCCATATTGACGGGAGAGGATCAGCGGCAATCTGACATTACTGATGTCCTACGAAAGAAGCAACTCGACCCCATTTCAGTACCAAAGCCAGCCAAAGACGGGACGCTAGCGCCGACCGCGTACAAAGGACCTCACGTCTTTTTATGCATGATTGGCGGGGGGCATTTTGCTGCCATGGTTGTTTCTCTAGCTCCGAGGGCAGCAAAGGGAAACACGTCCATGAACCGCGAAGCTACTGTCCTAGCTCACAAGACCTTCCATCGGTATACCACTCGAAGGAAACAGGGTGGCTCACAGTCTGCAAACGACAATGCCAAGGGAGCCGCACACTCTGCCGGCTCAACGTTGCGTCGGTACAACGAGCAGGCTTTGGTGGATGATGTGCGGGCACTGCTACGTGACTGGAAGGCTCTGCTAGACACTTCAGAATTGCTCTTTATTAGGGCCACTGGTGTCACGAATCGAAGAACGCTTTTCGGGCCGTACGAAGGCCAGGTCCTAAAGCATAATGATAGCCGGCTCCGAGGATTCCCTTTCAGCACAAGACGCGCCACTCAGAATGAACTCATGCGGTCATTTATCGAGCTGACGCGGCTCAAAGTCAGGGAGATTGACCCGGCAAAGGAAGTAGTAAAAGAGGCACAGCCGCAAATAGTTCCCAAAACTGCTAGCCCTAAACCTTCGAAGCCAAAGCTATCAGAGGAGGAAGAGACGGCTCTGCTACACACATCACAGCTACAAGCGCTTATCCGACGCTCAAAGTTGCCCGCGCTGTTATCGTACCTGTCCAATAATGGCTTGCCAGCCGATTTCGAATTCCGACCGACCGAGCAAAACTATCACTCCCCTCGACCTCTTCACCTCGCAGCCTCTCAAAACTCGCCGCCTCTTGTTCTCGGTCTTCTTACTCGCGGGGGCGCGGATCCGTCCGTAAAAAACGGCGAGGGTAAGACGCCGTTTGAGCTAGCCGGTGATAGAGGAACCCGTGACGCCTTCCGGGTTGCTCGCTCGGAGCTGGGAGAGGCCAGATGGGCCTGGGATGCGGCCAAGGTTCCCGCGGCGATGACAAAGGCTGAAGCCGATCGTAGAGAAGAGCGTGAGAGGTCAGAAGCCGATAAAAAAGAAGCCGAGAGGAGGAAAGCCGAAGAGGAGCGGCTGCGAACCGAGGGTCCCAAGGTGGTAGAGAAGAAACTCAAGGGGAATACACTTGGATCTAGCATGGCAAAGACACCGCAGGAACGCAGAGAGGAAGAAGCGAGGGGGTTGACGCCGGAAATGAGGATGAAGCTGGAACGCGAGAGGAGGGCAAGAGCTGCGGAAGAGCGTTTGCGGAAGATGAGGAGCTGATGGAATTGGCAGCTCGTCAGAATGTACGCGAATTTTTAATTTCTTAAACACCAGGAGCAGTTTGTGATGGATGCTGGAGGTGCTGGTCATGAAAACCAGTTGGCACTACGAACAAGGCTACGTAGAGGCAACCGCGCATTGGCTTCACAAATGGCTAGAGAGGATTACCTTGGTCAATACTGATGTATATACGCCACGCTTCTATACTCCCGACTAGGGACAAGGGCAGAGAAGAAAATTTATCCACCAGGACTAAAGAAAGCCCTCGGTAAGCATGTAGACGCGCCTCTCCCTTGTGTTTTCCCCTCAAGTATAACAAGACTAGGCTTGCCACCGAGTCGTTTCTACTCCGCGGGCAGGTCTTTTCAGCGGGCGATCAGCTACTTCATCCGACTTCTTAAGCAAATATTGTATGAATCCGATCCCGTGCTCCTTGGCAGCCATCACGGCAGCGGAAAAGTACTTGAATGCCGAGCGTCGTTCGAATCTACACAGAAGCATGTCACGACGGCCTTCCCCGGCGGCAGTTATATGAACAACAACAGCACAGAAGCAATTTTTCTTGTGGAGGCTAGTTGACAGCACGGCATTTGGAAGCTGCACGGGCTGCGCTGCCACTCCTGCGCAACATCGAGGCCAGTGGCCAGACACAGCAGATGCACAGCCTCGAACGAGGACTCTAAGCGGGAATCATCAAAGCCTTCTCCAGCAGCGACCCCGGCAGCACGACCTGGCCGAGGAGGCGACGCGGCAGCTGGGGGCTATTCGTGCCAAAGCCCTGGACGAGCCTCCTGCTGAGAAGGGGACCAGACGTCGTTGCAGAGCCCAGCCGCCAATACAGAAAACATGTTTCGACAGCTCCGAAACCAGTCCCGGGCCAGCCTGGCCTAAATCCAAGGGCCAAAACAGCCTCTGTAGGGGGTCGATCCCTGGGTGAGGCAAGCTGTTTGCACGCATCAGCCTCGCCATCAGCCCAAGAAGGCCAAGGACGCCGGGCGCTACGAAATGGGCGTGGAAGAATTGCTTAGTGTCTCTGAAGAGAGGGGGAGTCGAGGGCTCAGGCAATTGCTTGATGGACTCGGCAGAGACGGACAGGGACGTGTGCTTTGGACCCGGCGAGTTCGACTACCATTCGGCCTTTCCATGGGAGTATGAGGTGACGGATGCTCAGCCTAGCCACCGGCCGGTATAAGAATCCCTTCTTTTGTCCCTTTTTGCCATGAGAACGACGATGCTAACAAAACCCGTTGCAGCAGGGCCAGAGCTCACGGCTGCAGTTCGTTCAACGGGTGCAGCAGGTTCAATCTTGCCGAGCAGCAGTTCCGGACATACTTGGACGCTGCAGATGTACTGTCACCAAGTCCATCAGCTTCTGCAGCAGAGCGTTCTCTCTCTTGTAGATATTCTGCGACACATGGCCCACGCGGACACCCGTTTTACCGCATGCCTGCCGGACAATACGCGGCAACCCCAAGCTCTCCATCGGATAAAAAGAATCCGCAAGATACAAAAGATGACGACTCTGGTTTGCAAGAGGCGGCAAAGACCATTGGACTCGCCACTGTGACAGCGTGTCTCACGATTACACGAGGGCTACGACGACGGGAGTTGGGGCACAAGGCTCCCACCGACATCTTGTATTAATAAAGCTCTAGAGGTCATCTAGTGCTTGAAGAAACCAAGGCCCTTTAAGACCAAAGACTACGATTATAGATGAAGTGAGTTATTACGCCAAGCCCTCGCTGAGCCTTGTGACGTAGCGTTACTTGCCCCCGTCGACAGTCTTGAAATCGGGTGTGAAGTCGGCATCGCTGAGGCTGTGAGCTCTGTAGTAGGCCGGGTCATGGGCACACGTAGAGGGGCATGCAAAGTAGCCGGCAACTCTTGGATGGGATATAGGAAGACAGGATGAAGCCGTGGCAATGTCACGACCCGGCCAACCAGTTCATACACTTGGCTGCATGTACCACGCAGAGCGTAGGCATTACGGGGCACCAGATCAACAGTCGGGATGCTGTACATCGCACGGGTTCCTCACTAAAGGTCTGGTATAAGTGAACCACTCGTAGCAATGCTGTAGTTTGCTCACAGCTCGTGTATACCACAAGTGAGCCATCATTGAGTACCAAACTAGCCTTTATACATGGTCTCTGGTTTCTAGCTTTCAATACAGTCATCGCAGCAATCCCAAGTTTGCACTTTTGACTCCTGATCCCAGTCACGGCTGTGACCATGACATCCGAAGCCCTGCCAGGAGCAAATCCTGTCATGTAGCGAGTAATCCCCGATGCCGCCTTGCGGTCCCTACACGCAACGCATGTCTGGGGCTTTGTTAACGGCACCAGACGCTCAAATACTACGCACATTATATACTCTACATCCCCTACGTTCGAGCTTGGCCCATGTAAACGCCACGTGAATCAGAGGCTGTGGTCGAGGCCCCCCAGTTCGATAAAGTGTGATGGCTCTATATTGGATCCAAGGCAGACGGGACCAGTGGTGGAATCAACACTCTCTCTTTATCTGTAGTTCCGCAGTGACGCCCAGCACTATCCCGGTATTCATTACTCGGCGTCGCTTGGTACGCAGTCAAGGCCCGAAAATATCCGTACGCTCTCTTGGCTTACAGCCCAGGAGTCATCGACGGCGTCTCGGTCGTCCGTACAATACCCTTCCACACGTCAGAGCCAGCATCAAAACTGTGCTGGGTAGTGAATCAACTCGCCTGATGCAGAATCCAAGTCCAATTTCTCCGCAGAGCCGAAGCGTCGTCACCGGGAGCTCCGACTGAGGCAGCTACCGGCGGTGACTTTGCCAGCAGCCCATACTCGCTCCGTCGTCCAAGAACCACAGCCCAGCCGTGGTTTTCTCTGTGCTTGCCACAGACGGCAGTGAGCGGGCTGAACAGTTTCGCCTAGTGCTGCTTGTACGACTCTCCCTCGGCCACCGCCTTCCCAGCACGCCAACGAGCACCAATTGGGCAACCTTTATTCCCATCACGCAGCGACAACTTCCGGCACGTCCATCTCGAGTCGATTTCTACAAGCCCCCGGGCGGCAGCAGAGTCTTGAGCGTGGCCACATGCCCTTCTTCCCACATACACGTCAGAGTGTTGGCCGGGCGCTCAGAAGAGGGTCCCTGCCTGCATCGCGAGAGCCATGATTGGTCGGCCGCTCCATCGACAACCTCTGTCCGGAGCGTGTTCAGTCTCGACGTGACTGTTCGGGAGCTGTTCAGTAGCTGTTCAGTAGCCGTTCAAAATGAACAGCTTGAACACAGAGTCCAAGGCATGGTCATCTGAGCGGGCTACATAAGCCTCGCTCCAGGCAGGATCCCACGTCGTGTTCTTTTCCCTCCTACATGCTGTTTTTTCGACCATCCGTCTTATGAACAACCCAGAAACACAACCTAGTCTTGAACACCCCATAGACAACCAACCTCTCTGCTTCTTTTCGCGCAGCATGACTGTCTGCCGTTTGTGCTCAAACAACCACCGCGGGTCGGCTCGGCCCTGCCCCTGCTTTGACGGGCACAGGGTCGACCGCCTCGGCGTCGAGGTGGACATGATGATGATGATGATGACGGACGGGGCAACCTCGTCGTCCGTGACGGTGGTAGGGAGTAAGTCGTTAGATTAGATAAAGACACTGCTGCCCTTCCTTGGCTGGCTCGGGAGCGATGGGTCTGACAGGCCTTTGCAGATGAAGACGGCGTTGCGTGCCGGCCGGGCGGCGATCAGGACCGGCCCGGCGCTAGGGGCACGCCGTCCAGATGGGCGCCGCTTGCTTCCGCACGTCGCCGTGGATGGATAGTATTTACATTGAAGCAGCGTCCCGGTGGTGCTTCCAAGGTGCGACCCCTCGCCACTCAGCTGCACGTGACTCGTTTAGGCTAGCTAATTCACCCAGCCGTCTCTCTTGATAAACGGGACTTGAGCATTAGCATCAAACTATTCCATGCGCATCGAAACTACACCACCTCGACCTTCGAATCATAATAATTTTTTTTTTACAACGACCTTTCGTGCTTTTTTTTTTCTTGGTGCCTGAATCACCAACCCTCTACGACTGGGGCGGATCGTCTGGACCCATTTTTCTTGGGATCCCGAGACATATAGGGTAACTGTGTTCCGATAGAACTCGATTTTATCTGGAGGATTTTTTTCCTTGTTTTATTGTTGCTTTCAATTTTGTTTGTGAATTTGGGACCATATACTATGACATTTAATTGGTGGTAATTGGATAAGCGCTAGCCTTAACACATCTCAGGTCGTTATTACAATACAAAATCTGCTATTATGTCGGGGGTTGAGGGGTGATGTCGTGATTCCGCCCGTAGATGTGCAAGCTTGGATACATCAAGCCCACAAGAAGGGGCTGGCGTAGTTAACTATATAGTGCCCGTCTTGGAAGCCCCTGCATACTGCCATGGCTCGGTATTGGCCTAATGCCCAGGCTTCACTTGTACCTCTGACATATCAACGACCCGTTTCTGAGCGGCGGCAGTTTTCCTCCCAGATTGAAGTGGTCTGATCTGACAAACATCTGTTCACTTGGCAATTTGCCATCACTACGCTCGGCCCAGAGAAGTAGTGTACCAATTACCACGTCAGAGTTTCTAGATTTCACAACGTTTGACAATGTCTTCTTTGCAGACGCTCACAAAGGACACCATGTCAGGACGCCAGAGCTCGCAGCCACGAGACAAGACGTCAGATGCCTTGAAAAATAATAACAATGGGTGCAAGTGCCGACTGGAGAACACCATTTATGAAGCCCATTGATTACATGTCGCATACTCATGGTGTTTTAGCCCTCATTTGACGTCGACCGGCCGTATCGCAACCTTTTGCCCGGCAAGACCGGCTCGATAGTCGAGATGCTCTGACTTTCCGATCCTCACGACGACCTCCTAAAACAGACGGTTATTCAAAGACACAAGCGGTGCAGCCAAGATGTTTGTTCAGTTGGATCTAGTTCACCAGGGACATTGGCTGCTGC